TCAGTGATCTGTGCATTCCTCCTTTCAGTCTTAAATCAGTTAAATGTAACCTTTAAAACCTGTGTTGAATCTCTGTAAGGTGCATTGAAAATTCTAAAATCTAAATTAAAATATTTGGTAACATTGCATGCATTACAGCACAGGTCTTGAGTATGATACAATTCTAGTTTTCATTGTTGAAACCATGTAACCTTTCAAATCTTAGTTTTAATTCCATGAAATGTGAATGTGATTTTACTTCATAAAACTGTGCTCATTAATTCTGTAGTGATTGCCCAAACCTCCATTTTAAATAAATCAAAGTCATAGACACACTGTTGTATTTTCAGAATATGACCCTGACTTTACAGAACAAAATAGCATTGTTATTTATTCAAGACTAACTGAAATGATGGCGATCCTGAAACTGAACATGTTCCTAAGAAGCTTTTCATTACTTAACAGGTTTTAAAATTTTTGTCCTTTTAATTATCTGGTTTTATTGTGAAAAACTCTCACTGGACCAGCCTGTATAAATAAGGTGAAAATGAATGAATGCATGAAACCACAATCTAAACAAACCACACATCCCTGTTTAACCTGGCCTGTACCACTTTAAAATACAGGTATTAGTGTTTAAGCATGGTTGACTGTGTGGCTGCGTCTTGGCTGAAAAGCTTGTTTTTGCTGAACTGTTTTGACTCTATTTGTTTTGGCTAGACGGAATTGACCAGACATCCAACAACAGAGAGTGGAGTCAACAGTGAGGACAGTGGAGGGAGGCAAAACTGGGTGATGAGGGGGGGCAAAAAACGGCTTCTGTGAAGGATTTAGTAGGGTGCTGGGAGTTCTGGTCTGTTGGAAGAATAAACCACACACACACACACACACACACACACACATCCAAACGGTACCACTGTCCCTCTGCCTCTCTCTGTTTATAAACTGTGGCCTCAATCACAGTGACAGAGACCAGATCTTTGAATCTGAAACCGAGCACTGTCCCACACTGCCCTGCTGCCCATTGCTGCAAAGTAAAGCCACAAACACACACACACACAACACACACACAACACGCCACACCACACGCACAGGCCACTGTTTTATCTGTGCATCCCGAATCGCTGCGGCCCACCAAGTTAGACAGAGGTGCAGCAGAGGTTAAAAAAGTCGCCATACTGTAGAACCACATGTTCACACACAAACACACTCCAACTGCAGCTGCATCACGTCTCACTTACTTCCGACAGGCCACTTTGGGCACTCAGCCAATTCAAGTTCAAGCCAATATGACTTAAGTAACGGTGTGTGTATGTGTATTCTGAGCAGAGCCATCAATACAGCAGTTGGACATTTCTGCCACAAACTCAGCCCAAAACGCTGTTCGTTTCTTTGCTGGTTTCCCTGCCTGCACTTTGTTACTTGTCTGTTTCTCTCTCCTCTCCTTTCCCAAGGTTGATTTGTTATTGACCTCGATCTGTCTGTCTTTTATATGTCTTCTTTTTTTCTGGCTTTGAGGAAACTTTTCTTCAAGTAAAGCGACAGCACACTAAAGGTGTGTTTAGACAGACAGCATCATTTGTGCAACTATGACACAGTACTGTTTGGTTTATTTGCCCCCAAACAGCCAGTATGATTGTACAGGCGTAAGCTGTAAACTAGCTAGCAAGAGACGCACTAACCGTGTGTGTGGTAGTGACTCAGAGTAACTTAGCAAAATTCACCAGAAACTCAAGTTTTTCCTTTTTCCAGAGGCAGATTCATAAACACTCCAAATTCTTTGCTCAAGTTGAAACATTTTGAACTCATCACATCTACTTGCGTCTTTCTGTGGACTTTGTATGCAGTCGCACTGGCTCTAAAACTTGCTTTGCGTTCTTTTCTCTTGCTTTTGGCCTTCCATCCACATGGATCTTTTATACCTGAAAGCACAGCTTTTCTAATGCGGTTGTAAGAGTGGATAAATCTGAAAACGCTGGCCTCGTGGTCGAGTGGAAAACTGGGCGTTTGGAAGATGATGACCAGGTCAGAGGCTGCGTAGCATTTAAGGAACAGACAACTTTCTGCTGCATCTTAAGGGGTCAGTATGCTTTAAACAAAGTGCTTGTC